TAGCCTGACAAGTTGGCGTAGGTGGCGCCCTGGACTGCTGCGATCCCCACCAACGCCTGACAGAATAGTGTAGTTTTTTCTTATCTCCGACAACTTTTTGTCGGCACCAATCAGATTTCAGAAACTATTGATTTTGACATCCGTCATAATTTAACCATTCACGAAGCGTTGCGATTGTTGAGACAACAACTTATCACTTCTGATCGTCTTCCTGCCCATTGTTTACCAACTCGTTGAAAAGTATGTGTGAGGTTGCCGACAGCACGCGTCAAATTGCCGTGGACACAAGTACCAGTTAAATGTTCAACTTAATCAAACAGCCACTTCACTTTGTTCGTCGTAATCATGAACTCTATCAAACAGGCTATTGTCGAACTTGAGAGCAAATTGAATATCCAGTTGAAGTCTGAACAGAAACGCGGAATTGCGTCACTGTATCGGGGTGAAGATGCGTTGATTATTCTACCGACTGGCTTTGGGAAATCACTGATTTATTCGCTGGCGCCAAAAGCATTCAACATTTGTTCAGAAAATTCTGGCTCGATAATATTGGTTATTTCCCCTTTAATATCTCTGATGGTAGACCAAGTTAAGCGATGTTTAAAGTACGGGATTTCTGCTGCTCTGATAGGATCGGCACAGCACGATCACCACGTCGCCCGGCAAGTAAGAGACGGTGAATGCCAGGTTGTTTTCGCTTCGCCGGAGGCGATTCTGAGTCGGTCGTGGAGAAAAGTGTTGATTAGTGACGTTTATCAAAGAAATCTTATAGGAATCGCTATTGACGAAGCCCACTGTGTCGATTTATGGTAAGTTTTTTTTTCAATGAAAGTATTTTTAATTACGCGTATCTAAATTTAGCCAGTCCATTCAAGGAAGATGGCGGCCGATGTAAACAATAATCTTTACGAAACCGTTCAAGTGTGCGATCTAAAAATTATAAACGGGTGCGGTGCGGTATGATGAATTTGGGTTGTTTAAAATATAGCTCTCTGTTTCAATCGACAACTTCGCGAGTATTGTTTGCCATCTCATTTTCGTTTATGACTGAACGATCTGTTTGTGTAGGCTGGGGGGGGGGGTCTCAGATGAAGCCAGTGGCTGATTAAAATATTAGATAATTTTGAATATGTGTCGTTCATATCACGGGAGCTCGATTTTTGTTGCATTATATTTATTTTGAAAATGGATTGTTGTGCTGCCATTTGAAAATAAAGCACCTAGACTGTGTGTTAATTTGACTATGGCAGGTATTTTTATGTCTAGCCAGTGTTAAATTATATTCAATGATATTTCATAATATTTTCTCTAGAAATCACTGACCACTTTTCCAGTTTGTCTTTCTCATTATTGCACTTTAAACTGGTTTTAAAAGTTTCAAATTGGGGGGAAATTATTTCAACTGCAAGTTTATTTTTGTAATGATGCACAAATATTTTCTAGAATGTGACAAGATGTATGACTGTATAGTAATTTTTTTTTACTTTTGTTTTAGGGGAAATGATTTTAGAAGAGATTTCATGAACCTGAAGGAGCTGAGGTCTTTGGTGCCACCATATGTACCAATGACTGCACTCACGGCAACAGCCACATCCAGATGCAGACAGGCCATTATTAATAGTCTTGGTCTTTCACCAACACTGGAGATAATAGAAGCCACACCAAATAGACCAAATATATTCTACAGTACCATACAGTCTGATGATGTTATGCAGTCACTGAGGTGGTTGGTAGAGGAGTTGCAAGAGAAAGGAAGGGATTGCAGAAAGGTGCTAATTTATTGTAGAAGTATTAAATCTTGCACTAC